CATCCCACTGGGTGCAGGGGTCTGAAGGAAGCACTCTCAGCAGTGGAATTTCTGGACCGGAAAATTGGTCATTTTGAGCCCACTGCCCACTGCCCTCTTGCCAGCACAGTGTGAAGAGGCTTGTGCCCGACAAGCACATCAACAGAGTGGGTTCATCAAAAGATAGCCATCTGTTTTTCCCAAGCATTTGTAAAGGAATACATGGACCAACTGGATTCATTTTGTGCCAGAACTAAGAAAAAGACCATGAAATTTATGTTCTAAATTGAAGAGCAATTCAGACCAAGCGGCTGTAGATATTCCCTATCATGCACACGTCTCCCTCAGATAAAAAACTCAGGTCACCCTGAGAAAGAGGGACTGTACCTCTGCAGGAGTCGGCCCAGTGGTTGGCGGTGGGTAGCTGGGTGCAGGGGCTGCAGCCTCCCCCCAAGTGTGCATACCACCGGCCCTCCAGTCCCTGAACCCCCGAGACAGGAACCCCAGGAGGGCTTCAATGAATAAACCATATTAAAACTTCCTTTTTTGATAATGCAAAAATTGAGTTTCTATTATTTGCAACTGAAAGTATCCAAACTGTTCCAGACAGAAACACCAAGTCCATGGGCCCATCCCGAGCATGTGTCAGGGGAATTAGGGGAAGTGGTGGCCAGAGCCCCTAGAGACATGCAAGAATGGGGCAGAGAGACCAGACAGTCCTAGAAGGCCGAAGACCAAGAGTTTATTACATGCCGTGGCCGCAGTTCAAGAGAAGGCGGCGCCCCATCAGCCACCCTCTAGTTAACAATAGGTGGTGGAACCATGGATGGTTTTATTTTTTAAAATCCCTTTTAGTAGGAATATGCTCCTTTTGTAGTAAGATAACAATTGTTACCTAAAAACAGCCACGATGGTTCAGAGCAGAGCTACTTCAAGTGTGCTGTGTGGGTACTGGGAGCCCCACCCTGTTTGCTACTAGTCCCTGATGAGCCAAGTACACAAAGCAAAAGTAAGCATTTAGAGTACATGCAGTTTCGTAGAACGGCTTTGTCTATTGGACTAAATAAGAAATCAGGGCCTTCAAACAAAAACTTGTACACCAATGTCCATAGCAGCCCTATTTACAATCGCCAAAAGTGGAAACAGCCCAAATGTCTGTCAGTGAACGAACGGATAAACAAAAGGTGTCATGTCCACACTATGAAGACATGAAGTAGCCATAGGAATTATACAACAGGGATGGACCTCCAAAACATTAAGCCAAGGAGAAGAAGCCAGATGCAAAAGGCCACACGTGTAGGATTCCGTTCGTACGAAACGTCCAGAATAGGTGAATCCATACAGACAGAAAGCAGTGGGAGGGGAGAAATAGAGAATGACTGCTTAATGATAGGAGGTCTCCTTCTGGGTTGAGGAAAATGATTTGGTTGGCAGAGGTAGGTGGCTGCACGAACCGTTAACATCCTAGATGCTACCGAATTGTGCACTTTAAAATGGTTGAAGTGGTACATTTTATGTCACGCGTACTGTAGCACAGTCAAACAAAACTGGGGCTTGTATCTTTTGTGCCTTTGTATTCTTCCTTTCACTTTTCTGGGGGAGAGAAAAAAGCCCAAGATCAGAGCCTGCGAAGAAAGGAGGGGCCCTCGGAGACCGGGTACTTACCAGAGGTTGTCAATCACGAGGCTCCACCCACCTCCCTGGTGGACGTGGTTTGGGGGACGATGCTGCAGGAAGCTCTCAGAGGCAGGGAGTCCAGACAGCGGTGTCGCACATCTCTACCTACCTACCTACCTATTACCTACCTATTCATCCATCCATGCATCCACCCGTCCATGCATCCACCCATCCTTCATTTAGTGTACAATATATCGGTCCTAAGAGTCTTGGTAAAACAAGTTTAAAACTACCGAGAGAGGAAATAGTTCTGAAAACCTGCCCCTCCCAGCCCCCCTCTGCTCTCTGCCCATGCTTACTGAGCAGTCCCTGTGTGCCCAACCTTAGCGAGGCCAGGTCTTCATGGTGGATAAAGGTCCTCTACTTGTTAGAGCAGAACATCCCTCACTGCAAGTTAATAGGTCAGTGGCTGTAAGGGTAAATATAAATCAAAAGTAAGAAAAACAAAATTTTTTTGAAGTCTCCCTGGTGCAGAAAAGGAAAAGAGAGCTTCCTCCCTCCCTTTTCTTAGAGCATTTATTTTGGGAAACTCATTGTAAATCCTCTCTCTACCCCTTTGAGGTGTATATAAATATTTTTAAAAGCTAAAGAAGTCTCTTGCCAGTTACACAACCGAGGAATGTTTCCCTCCAGGACTGGGGGAGCCATCTCTTCGAAACGTAGTCATCAAGGAAGCCAGGACCCCTACCCCTGGATTCCATGGGAGGGCAGGAGCCTAACTTCTGCAGGTGCCTGGCTCCCAAGTTTACAAAACGACCTCTTGTCGTGAAGAGATGAGAAGTTTTCTTTTTCCTCTGGAGAAAGGCAACTCGCAAGCACGGGTGGCCACCCTAATTACCAGGTGGACTGTGGAAGAACCGGTGTGGCGTTGTCGGGCTCTCTTGCTTGAGCACAGGTACCATTTATCTTGAGAACAGGTGTATCTGTTCTGCGATGGGGTGTATCTGCCTGCCTGTCTAAAAGGTTGACGTTTCTTTCTGGTGTCTTTAGTGGCTTGCCTGTGGTGCATATCGCAGTTTGGCTTAACCCTTATTCCATAATAACACATCTTCTTTCTCTCTCTGTCCTTTGTGGAGAAGCTTTCTGGCTTGGCTTCGTTATTCGCGCTTTGTGTCCCTTTGCTGCCTCCTGTGAGTTTGATTCTGGGGCAATTCTCGAGTCCGCAGGCAGCACTGACGAGGTCTGGGGAGCTATTCCAGGAGAGGCTGGGCCATGCTCATTCACTGACATTGCCTGACCGGTCTCACCCTGTCAGCCTGCTCCATTCTTACCTGGAAGCTCAGCTCGGGGAGGGGACCGCCATCACGAGCTACATGAGCTTGGGAGGTTATTGAACCTCATCAAGCAGGGTGAGCTGAGGGAGGTACTTGCTTTGGGCACAGCAGTGGGAGGGGGGGCACCAAAAACTCAGTAATGAAGATTGTTTTGGGCTGTAGGTTTGTGTCCCCCAACATTCCTATGTCAAAGTGCTGCCCCCTAATGTGATGGTATTGGAGGGGGCACCTTTGGGAGGTAATTAGGTTTGGATGGGGTCATGAGGACGGAGCCCCTGTCATGGGGATTAGCAGTCTTATATGAAGAGGAACAAAGACCAGGGCTCTCTCTCTCTCCCTCCCTCTCTCTCTGCCACATGAGGACACATGGACAAGGCAGCTGTCTGCAAGCCAGGATGAGGACTCTCACCAGGGAACCAAACTGGCCAGCACCTTGGTCTTGGACTTCCCAGCCTCCAGAACTGTGAGAAATAGATTCTTATTGTTGAAGCCTTTTGTTATGGCAGACCAAGCTGACCAATACAAAGATAAATAATATTTAATTTAAAAAAAAAAGGTTTTTTAAGGTAGGCTGTACATCCAGGATGGAGCCCAATGAGGAGCCTGAACCCAGGACTCTTGAGATCAAGACCGGATCTTGGTTGGACACTCAACTGACTGAGCCATCCAGGTGCCCCAAAGAGAAATAATATTTAAATGCAATATATATACATACGTACTTTATTTTATTTTATATTTTAAAAGATTTTATTTGTTTATTTGACAGAGAGACAGCAAGAGAGGAAACGCAAGCAGGGGGAGTGGGAGAGGGAGAAGCAGGCTTCCTGCTGAGCAGGGAGCCTGATGCGGGGCTAGATCCCATGGACCCCGGGATCATGACCTGAGCTGAAGGCAGATGCTTAACGACTGAGCCACCCAAGTGCCCCAATACGAACATATTTTAAATCAAAAGTAATGCTAAATGTCCATGGCCAACAAAATGTCAACATTTTAGGGGCGCCTGAGTGGCTCAGTCGTCAAGACAATTAAGATAGACAAACAGGTTTTTGGGGCACCTGGGTGGCTCAGTCAGTTGGGTGTCTGCCTTCAGCTCGGGTCGTGATCAAAGGGTCCTGGGATTGAGCCCTGCATCGGGCTCCCCGCTCCGCGGAGAGCCTACTTCTCCCTCTGCCTTCTGCCCCTCCCCCTGCTCGTGCTCTCTCTCTCTCTCTCTCTCAAATAAATGGATAAAATCGTTTTAAAAAATAGGTTTTCTACAAGTTCATGTAGGTTTCACTGCACACTCAAATTTATCGACCAGATAGCCATGTATTTGGCACAGAGCTGGGCCCAGCAGAGGACGCTGAAGAGCCCAGGACACAATTCCACTCCACCTCTGTCGGGACAGGGAGGACGCTGATATGTACCGGAATGAATCCCCAGGAACCTGTTCCTCCAGCTGGATTATCTCAGTTTAGAGAACCACCAACTCTGAGAGCTCTGTTCGGTCTGCTGAAATGAAGATTTGCCAACATCCAATTTTCCCTGCTGAGGGGAGTGGGCTGGCTGCTTTCTCACACTTCCTCCAAGGAGCTTCCTTTCCCCAACCCAGCACAAATGCCTCACTGAGTGTTAAGATCATGGTATGACACTCTGGAGACACGGGACAGAAATGGGAATTCACCTTGAGACTTCTCCGCTAGCTTACAGGTTCCTAAGCCCTGATTTCTTGAAAGAAACAAAGTCTTCTTTGCTTCTTACAAATAGCATCCACATCAAATGTTCAGCGGCCAAGGGGGAGGCCTCCCTGTTTTTCATGCCACCTCACTGTGCCACTGTGGCACATTGCCTAATGGGCCTGGGCATGGTTGGCTGAGCAGGAGAGGAGGTGGATCACGGTCTGTGGGGCGTTTCCTGCCTCCAGCCATCCTGTGGCAAGGGCTCCTGGGTGCCTGGCCCTGAGCCGACAAGGCTTACACAGTGCCTGGACTTTGGGAATCGCCCTGAGAGCCTGCTCCTGCCCCCAGCATTCTGAACCACTGCCACCTGCCAAAGTCCACCCACGGCAGCCATGGAGAGGGCCCCCAGTACCCTCGTCTCCTATGTGTGAGTACGTCCTCAGGGCCTCCTCGGCTCCCTGTCGGATGACCCATCTGCTGGGGCTGTACTGATTCTCCAGCTCCTACGGAACACAGACAGAAGGCTGCGTAAGACCTTTGTTCTTCACACTGTGCCCCCACCCCTCCAAATGTCTGGATGCTTCTCTCTACCTTGAGAAGCTCCCTCCCCAATATCTTAGGCTCCACAGATGCCCTCAGCTTCCTTCAAGCCCCTCCAGTCTCCAGCCTGGTCACCCACTCCCCATTCTCCCCCCACACCAATTAATTAGGTACTTCAAATACAACACCACAGGTGCTCTCAGACTCGTGGTCTAGAGCAATCGTCATGCTTTAACTAATGGACAGCCTTAAAGGGGAGATGAGGTGCCATAAATGTGTCCGGGTTAATGCCACTTGTGGGCACCCCTCCTACTGCTGGAGGCCCGGGAGTTGGTGGGGCGGGGGGCACTGCAGAGGAAGTGACATGGAACTGATCTTCTCTGAACGGGCATGATTCTTTTTTTTTTTTTTTAAGAATTTATTCATTTATTTTGAGAGAGAGACAGAGACAGCAAGAGAGTATACAAGCAGGGGGAGGGGCAGAGGGAGTGGGAGAGAATCCTGAGCAGATCCCCCACAGTCCGTGTAGAGCTGGACACGAGGCTCGAGCCCACAACCTTGAGATCATGACCTGAGCCGAAAACAAGAGTTGGCCGTGCAACTGACTGAGCCACCCAGGCGCCCCTGAGGGGGCAGGATTCTGATTGCAGGAGTCACAGCAAAAAAACAGAGGTCAGGAGGGAGGAATCAAAGGTCAGTTTGGAAATGCTGATGGGCCAGACTGCTGAGACACGGAGGTGAGGCCCGGAAGCTGGGGCTGGGGGGCAGGGTCTCAGATGTCAGGCTAAGACGCTCAGACTTAATGCAGACAGCAACAAGGAAACAGATTTTGGAGAAGGAGCTCAAAGGCAAGGAGAAAGAGTGAAACCTAAAATGGGAAATTTGAAGGCGGGGTGGCTTCCCGGAAGGGTTTTGGGCTCTGGAGTCAGATGGGTTGAGTGCCATCCAAGTTCCAACACCTACAGGTTGTTTTACTCTGGGCAACTCACACTCTCTGGGTCCCAGCCCTCTCTATAATGAGCGTAACAGTAGCCTCACAAGGTTGAAGGACATAAGGCATGTAAATGAAGTAAAACTAACCATTCAAGTGTGGGTTACTGCCTCCTCCTGTTGAACGAGATTCTTGGCCAGTATTCTTTAGATCTGTACAATCTGCGCCTGTAGGGCCTTTACAGCCATCCCTGACACACACTGTGAGTTTGATCATCATCTTTACTGTTGTTATGTATGATAACAATAATGCAAAAGGTTTCTGAGAGTCCTCTGGTATTGCCGGCATGTGTGTGTGTGTGTGTGTGACAGAGACAGAATGGGATTTCTTGGGGGCAGTATGCGTAACTTATCAGATTCTCAGATGTATTTCAGATGTATCTGGGAATCTCAGGAAAAAAAAAAAAAAAAAAACACCAGGGCGCCTGGGTGGCTCAGTTGGTTAAGCGACTGCCTTCGGCTCAGGTCATGATCCCGGAGTCC